GCTTCCTACCTCAGGAAAGGAAGACCTTCCCAGACAGGAGGTCTTGCTCATCCCTCGGTAACACATACACACAGCCTTCTGGAGTTTTGCCGGAATCACCTTTATTTCTTAACGTCTTTATTTTTATATACAGGGTGGTGCAGAGGTCCAGTACTTTCACCGATGGGTAACGAACTATGCCCACATCGGATAGGGCATAGCCACCTTTTCCCCAGTGACAGGAACATCACTTTGCCATACATGAACTTGCTCCTCATACTGGCCACTGGCCACTTACCTGTTTCTCCATCGAAACCGTCCTGATCTCTAGCTCAGTGGCTGACTTTGAGTTCTGATGCCTCGTAAAGCAAGCCTCCCTTGCTGCCCCAATTCACCTCTTTTTCATACTTCACTGGCTCTTCTAGACATTTATTTTTCCATATAAAGCTGAAGATAATTTCACTCCCCCTCCAAAATCGTGTGAGGATTCTTACTGGAATTGTTTGTGAAGCTTACTTCTCAATTTTGAGTTAACGGACATCTTTGTGCTGCCTGCCTTCCCACCATAAAACGGGGCACATCTCTCCATCTGTTCGCGTATTTTACGTCCTTCAGTAAGACTGCATAGCTGTCTCCACGCAGTCCTGTGTCTTTCTCGCATAAATTATTCCCAAGTAATTTATAATGAATTATAACAAATAATTTTGTGGCGCTGGTAAAAATGCGATGGGTCTTCTGGCCTCACTTCCAGGTATACTTTAGTATATCTATAAGCAAGCTACAGTAAATTCTCATTGATTTTGTTTTTTAAAGAAACTAGTATCTTGCTGTTTCTCGATATACAGTATCATGCCACCAGTAAAAAAGGGTGCCTAGTGAGTGCTTACGGTAGTTTACTGGCTCAGAGTGTGGGCCTCGGAGCCCCCAGCTCTGGTTTTGAACCCCAGCTCTGCTCTATGACCAGGATCTTATGAGTGAAGAACACGAGGCTAGAAGAGGTGAGACCCTGTGCCTGGGGCCCTCATTCTTTCATGTCGCATATACTGGTCAAGTGCCTGCAGACTCTAGCTCAAGCCAGATTCCACAGCCTGTATAAGGAAAATCCTTAGATTTGCATCATAAAAGCAAAGTGACAGTACAATCGTGTCTTCTTTTCATTTAACACCACTAAGGGCCAGAGGCTACAGGTGGCTTTGATACAAGATTATCAATTAGGGAGAGCCCCCCCTTGACTTGCTGAATGGGGGCTGCCCAGTTCATGAATAATTTAATAAAGCCAATTAGATCTTCAAAAGTAAAATAAAATAATCAAAAGAATTACAGCAATCATATTTATTGCCACACAAATTTCTTTTCCTTAAAGACTAATCTTTAGAACACGAAACATTAGAAGGAATTTGAAAAGATAAAATTTGAAGATTTACATGCACACAAATTAATGAAATCTCCTAATAACACACCAGCTGAAAGATCTGCTCATGCCAGCTGTGCAGCACAAGCCGATTAGTAACCAGACTTTCTAATCTTTACCAGTGTGAACACCTACAGTACAATTTAAGAAAAACTAATGTAAAACAGAACCTAACCCTAGTGTTTATCTATCATGCTCCTGCAACCCTGGATACCCACACTCTGAGAGCCGGAGAACCTCAGTGTTTCTCAGCAGAAGATAACCTTAACTTTAAAACAGGGAAAATCCTGGGGTGTCTGGGGGGCTCAGTCAGTTAAGCGTCCGACTCTTGGTTTCGGCTCAGGTCGTGATCTCACACTCGGGAGTTTGAACCCCATTGCCCTATCAGCACTATCCCTGTTTGAGATTCTCGCTCTCTCTCTCTCTCTCTCTCTCAAAATAAATAAATAAATAAACTTCAAAAAATATAAATAAATCAGGAAAATCCTAAGGAGGCTCACGAACGATCCAGGTACTCCATCCCTCAGCTACCTGAGGCACCATGAGGCCCAGGCTACTCACTAGAACCTCTGTGCACTTAGCTCATGGTGGTGACCTGTGGCATCTCACTGGAGCGGCTCAGGAAGCCTGACGGGCAGGGGACGGGAAGTCCCAGGCTCTCGGCCAGAGTGGCGGAATGGTGTGGAACGTAACCCGCTGGCAGCTTCTGCTGTTGACATGGCCTTCACGGATGTCACATGTAAGCTTCGGAGATGGAGGCTACCTAAGACCCAGGCATAAGTCTCCTCTTAAACAATAAGCAAAAATAAAATTTAATTGCGGGTGCTTTACTAGATCAGTTTCCAAACATAGCTGACGGCTTTTAGTTGGACATGTGGGCTATTCTATTTTCAACCAGCACAGAAACCTGACTTTAAGTCAGCCAATGAATATTCTGAATTCCAATTTAAAAATATGCTATACAGTTTGCTACCACCAAAAACATAATAATAATAAATTAATTAAAATATGGCTACTTGAGGGGGGGGGAGGGGTGCTAACAATTTAAATATTCTTCACCTTGAGTTTTTGTGCCTGGATGACATCCAAACATAAATGTGATTTAATTCGTCACCTGTATTTGTGCTGAAGTTCACAAAAGCCTAAATCAAGTAGGACTTCAACCTATAGGGTATCACAGGAAGGGGCACCTGGGTGGCCCAGTGGGTTAAGCATCCAACTCTGGATTTCAGCTCAGGTCACGAGGTCACGAGCTCACGAGCTCACGGTTGTGAGACGAGGCCCAAGTTGAGCTCCATGCAGAGTGTGGAGCCTGTTTGGGATTCTCTCTCCTTCTCTTTGCCTTCCCCTTCTCATACGTGTGCATGTTCTGTCTCTCAAAATAAATAAACATTAAAAAAAATAAAACCTCAACTCATGGGTTGCCAATTTTTTGAGGTCTTTGCCAATTTTTAATATACAGCAGTAGGAACGTACTTGGACTTTAATGCCATTTCTAGCTGCCTCTGAGACCTTTGTGCTGCTGACTCTGACATGATACTCTCTCCAAACGCTCCATCTTCCAAGATCTAAAAATTCCTAAACCAGCTTTTAGGGATTAATCTGCTGTGACTTACAAAAGATTAACAATACAAATATGCTGGGTATTAACCTGCTATAAGATATTAAAGATACAAAATATAAGATTTCTCTGTCATGAAGCAAATAGACCATTTACATTTCGAAGTTTTGTATAAGGGATTCTGCCTTGGGCTTGAAGAAACCCATAATCTCTGGGGTCTTTTATAAAGCCCTTTATCAGAATGATGCACTCACTATGCATGCCAAATAAGATATAGATGTATGAGAAAAATGTTAATAATTTTCTTTCTTTCCTACCCTGAATAATGTTGAGAATGTGACAGGGTACTTTTCCATGTCTGTTCTCACGCACGCATGCATACACAGCTCTAAACATACAAGCAGGTGTTTTCTTATTTAAAAAAAAATGGCATCATACTATAAATATATTCCTATGAAACCTACCTCTTAAAAAATAGAATACTTCATAGCCCTTAAAGTCAAAACACACAGGTGTGCCTTTTCAGGGCTTTGGATTGTTAAGTGTTAAATTATCTAATTAAAGTCAACTGAAGAGCGGCGCCTGGGTGGCTCAGTTGGTTAAGCATCCGACGTCGGCTCAGGTCATGATCTCACGGTTTGTGAGTTCAAGCCCCACATCAGGCTCTGTGCTGACAGCTCAGAGACTGGAGCCTGCTTCGGATTCTATGTCTCCCTCTCTCTCTCTCTGCCTCTCCCCCATTTGTGCTCTGTCTCTCTCTCTCTCTCTCAAAAATAAATAAAATGTAAAAAAAAAAAAAAAAAAAAAAAAAAAAAACTAAAGAGAAGCTGGTTTCCCTGGAGACCTGAGAAATAATTTCAAACATATTTTTATTTTTTATTTATATATTCAAAGTTTATTTATTTTGAAAGAGAGCCAGGGAAAGGCAGAGAGAGAAAGAGAGAGGGACAGAGAATCCCAAGCAGGCTCCACACGATCAGCGTGGAGCCCAATGTGGGGCTTGAACTCACGAACCTCGAGATCATGACCTGAGCCGCAATCAAGAGTCGGACACCAGGGGTGCCTGGGTGGCTCAGTCGGCTACGCGACCAACTTCGGCGCAGGTCATGATCTCACCGTTCATGAGCTCGAGCCCCACATGGGGCTCTGTGCTGACAGCTCAGAGCCTGGAGCCTGCTTCGGATTCTGTGTCTTTCTTTCTGCCCCTCCCCTGTTGTGCTCTGTCTCTCTTTCAAAAATAAGTAAACATTTTTTAAAAAAAGTTAAAAAAACAAAAAGAGCTGGACACTCAACCAACTGGGCCACTCAGGTGCCCCCAAACATATTTTAAACGTAAATCAGAGCTCAGAAGGCTAGAGAAGAATAAGCAGCAATCTCCTTTTGGGTTCACAGAACCATCATCTCCGATAGGACTCAAAGCCCTTTTTTACAAAACATTAATTACAAAAATTACATCAATGGTCTGAGCCAAACACAATGTGCTCCAAAGAGCTGTGGCTATTCAAGTGGGACCAGGAAGGTTTCGGCACAGATACGTTATACTGACTGCTGCTCACGCACACCCCGACCACCTATAACCCAGCCCGAGGGTGGGGGGCTGAGGTGGGAGGGCAGGCCTCTCAGAGCACTGGCACCCCTGTTGTGACCCTCTACAAACAGACGATGCTGGCCTAGCAGACCCTCCCCTCCCCTCCCAGGGATGGGCAGCGGGACCCACCCTGAAATCGCACAATCAGGACCACAGCCCGAAGCTGACGTGACAGGGGAGCACAGAGAGACGTCAGCGGGGAGACGGACGCCGTCTGCCCCCGGCTGAGCCATGTGCAATTTTTTACATTCTCTGAAATTCTGGAAATGGTCTCCGGACCTCAGGCTGTATGCAGACATCCTGTTTCCCGGTTCCGGTCTGACCGAAGCCCAGCTCTACCCTCGCTCTGACCCGGGGCGTCCCGGACAGCTTCTGCTTACACACCCTCCAAGTACTCTCCAGAACCGTCACACGGACGGCGCAGCCCGGGCGGTGAGTGGGGCGCCGACGGACGGACCCACCTGTGCAGGAAGTGCAGCTTGTGCATGGCGGCCAGGCCCGCCGCGATCTCGCAGGCCATCCGCTGCAGCAGCATGGTCTGCGAGTCCCCCCTCACGTGCTCTTGCTCGTTGCGCAGGTAAGCTTTTAGGTCACCCTGCAAAAGGCAGCGCAGGTCAGTTTCCAGAGGGGACGAGGCGAACACGCTGGCGACCACACACGTGCCTCTGCCCGTGTCCACTATTATTTATTAGAACTCACTAAGATTGGACCTTACTAAAGAGCAAGTTCCAAGTTACAAAGAGTAATTCCACCCAAATACTTTATAAGTATAGAAAACACTATCATCTTTTAGGATCGTTCTAACCAAACGTTAGTTTATCTTTAAATAAACTATCAGTTTAGATGAACACACGTAAAACCAAACAGTAAAACTTAGATAATTTCTCAGTGATGCACAATCTAAACTAAGTGCAGAGGTACAGAAATTTCCAGGTAACTGAGATGATATGGAGAGTAGAATAAATGGTGCTATGTGCACTGCCTGTAAGGATTCTAGGGCACACACGGCCAGACAATAGGTCACGAAGGCTACTGCCAGAGCACTCGAGAGCGACGGAGAGGGAGAGAACGAAAGAAGACCGGCCAGGGGAGGGGGGGAAAGCATTCTGAGTGCTGGCCGAGTCTCTGCCAGCTCCCCCAGGGCCCGGTGTGGCCCCGAGACCGCTCGGAGAAAGAACATTCCGGGCCCTCCAGAAAAATGCATAAAGTTACTAAGCCTACTCAGAATCTGGCCACGCAGACAGGAAAATGAACAAACTCGCACCGGACGCCTCCTGAGGCACATCCACCGCAACGCCAGGCCCTCCGGGTATCCCTGCCGGACTGCCCCGTGTTACTCTGCCTCTTTTTCAGGACTTTATTATTAAAAAAAATTTTTTAATGTTTGAGAGAGACAGACAGAGAGAGACAAGAGTATGACCAAGGGAGGGGCAGAAAGAGAGACGCACAGAGAATCTGAAACAGGCTCCAGGCTCTGAGGTGTCAGCACAGAGCCCGACGTGGGGCTCGAACTCACAAACTGCCAGATCATGACCTGAACCAAAGTCAGACACTTAACAGACTGAGCCCCCAGGCAGGCATCCCTCTTTCAGGACTTAAATTTAGGACTGTATGTTTTGGGGAATACACGTTTAAGGAAATAAAATCTTCCACATTCTCCTTATCACCACGAGGAAATATTTATTGATCGGACTTAATTCCCAACTAAAGCTTTATATAAACAGTTAACAAAATTTAGAAAGCAAGCCAATAGCTTTCGATTGTCATTATACCTGGGTCAAGTAACGACTCCTGAGGAAGGTAACCAACTAAAGAACAGAATGCATTTCTTGCAACTGTCAGGAAAGAGCAAATTTATCCGATTCTACCCAGAATCAAACCTTAGAACACAATATTCCATGACAAACGTTTGCCTACCTTTAACTGCACGCCGCAATGTAAATTCTAGGCCCGCTGCAACATCTAAAGGCTTTCGTTCCCAGTCTCAGTGGTTTTTATGTGAATGATAATGTTGAAATTAATAATTACTGCCACCGGAACTTCTGAGCAGTGTGCCAAGCACCGTGCTGGGAGTGTCTACACCTGCTGCCTCGAATAATTCCTGCAATTTGAAACATTTCCTGGCTGTGGAACTGAGGCTCAAGGAGGTTAAGAAATCTCAACGAGGCCACAGCCAATAAACGGTGGGGCCGTAGCTCTACTGTTTAGTTTTACCAACCTGTCAAGAAAACCCACTTAGGGTTGCAGATCAAATCAATTTACTTTATAAGAACGAATGTACAATAACTTCGTGTCAGCCACATGCATTTGTCGGATCCCCCCAAACTTAACGGGACTGCTCTGCCAGGGAAGCAGTTTCGTGCCCTCAGGACCCGTATGTCCTACCTCTTATTTCCTCCCAGACGTGATGCTGGAATCACAAGCCGCTCCAAGGAGAGAAAGAGACCCTTCTTGCCTTTGAATAACACATGTCCCAGAGAGCCTGGGAGACTAGATCGGTTAAGGATTCGACTTCGGCTGAGGTCAAGATCTCGTGATTTGTGGGTTCGAGGCCCGCGTCGGGCGTTGCACTGACAGCATGGAGCCTGCTTCGGATTCTGTCTCCCTCTCTCTCTGTCCCTCCTCCATTTGTGCATGCTCTCTCTCAAAAATAAAAATACATGCCCCTTCCCACCCCCACCCCACCTTCCCCCAGGCTAGGCTCTACCCGGTGTTGGAGTGGGTGGGAATAAAGATGGAGTCTCATGACAAATACATTAATCCAGACTAAGACCAGCAAAAAGCTCCAGGCCTACAGGCTAATGAGATTTTCATAAGGTGGCCCACATGGAAACTAAATATGAAAATGAACAGCTTTTTATTTACATTACCAGTGAAATGGCAACTTAAATCCATTTGTCCAACCCCTTTCCTGCAATATCCATCTAAGAAAAAATCACCCTCACACAAAAGTAGCATTATGCTGTGCTGTATCTGGCCAATTCTCAAAACAAACAGAAGCTGCTGGCAAACAGTGAACACTTCACAAGTGACTCTGGCCATGAAGGGAGAATGGCAGAGTGGGTGGAGTTATTTTTCAAGGTTATCTAAAGTGCAGTTCAGCCCTGAACAATGACGGGGTTGGGGCACTGACCCCCGAGCGGTGGAAAATCCACACAGAACTTCAGACTCTCCAAAAACTCAACCACTAGCAACCTGTGGTTGACCAGAAGCCTTACTGATAACAAAGAGTTGCTTAACACATATTTTTATGTGGCATATATTATAGACTATATTCTTATAATAAAGTAGGCCAGAAAAAAGAAAGTGTGGAGAAAATGATAAGGAAGAGAAAATGTATTTACAGCACTGGCCTGTATTTGTCGGGAAAACTCTACGTGTGGGACCTGCCCGGCTCAAACCCATGTTGTTCAAGCGGCAGCTGGATATTCATCACCATCCACTGTGCTCAAGGTGTCTTCTCTCCACAGTAATTCACTCCCCAAATCTCACCAGAAGATGCATAACAAGCACACGGGGATTTTGCTTAAGAATGTTACCGCCCCTAATGTTTCCAGCTTGGCCTCTCCTGACCCCAACCCCCACCCCGGGGGACAAAGTCAGCAGTTAGCAAAACGCTGGCAAACACACCTCTAAGCTGGGTGAGGAGCTGACACCAATGATTACGGAGGAGCCCGATGGGACTCGCGGTGGCTTGTGCAGGACCCAGGGTTGGTTCTATGTTCTAGAAAGACCGTCGGCTCTCCTGGTGCCACCATTGAGAAGAAAAATCAGCGTAAAATCTTTAATTACGGTAAAAATGTTTCTATTAAATAAATACCAAAACTGGATTCATTCTATCCAAAACAGACAAAACCGTATTGAGACGCCAGGTTTACTTTATTTACGTTTGCGTGGTACTTGGTGAGCAGACAGGGATTATTACTTTGGTCCCTTATTTAAAGAAAAACCCACCAAGAACAGCAATATATTCTGAATTAAAATCGTTCCCTTTGGGGCGCCTGGGTGGCGCAGTCGGTTGAGCGTCCGACTTCAGCCAGGTCATGATCTCGCGGTCCGTGAGTTCGAGCCCCGCGTCAGGCTCTGGGCTGATGGCTCAG